TTTAATGGATATAAATATGTATTTGTTTTGTATAAAACTATTGTATACTTATAAATATAAAATGAATACATATTTATAATTAGTAAACAAACACCAAAACTTTTTTTTTTGTGTGTCTGGGTTCATGAATCACCCAAAGAATTAAAAAGTGTTTCATTTATATGTAACCATATAAATATGTATAAATACATATCGTATACATATAAATATGAAATAAATATATATTTATACATAGTAATATCTACAAATACATATAATTATATATTTTATACAATAAATACATATTTATACTTTGTATTGAACAAAAACTTTATATAATTTAGTATATTATTTATCCAAATTAATATGATCCAAAAATATATGATACATAAAATATATAATTATATGTATGAACATAAAATATTATGATCCTTAATATTTTTTTTATTTAAATTTTTATAATTGTTAAATACTAAAAATTCAAACCGATATTTAGTTAAATAATTATTAAAAAAAAACAAAAAAAAATCCTTGCTATCTTCATCTGTGTAGTAAAGATATTAAAAAAATTAAAAAAAAAACGAAAAAAATTAAAAACATTAAAACCGAGCATATATCTTTTTAATTTTTTTTATTTTAAAAACATATAATTAAAAAGAAAACGAAAAAAAACCAAAATAAATGAAAAAGAGAAGAAAACTCCATTTAAAAGACGTTTCATGGACGTTCACCGCACATGATTATTCTCTCAAGTTCGTATTACGTTCCATGCACATGCATTGCGTGCGAACACATCACGACCAAGTAAATGAGTTTGTCGTTTACGCCTTTGACGAAATGATTGGTGAAGAATAGTCATCGCGGTTCCTACTGAATCCGGACTATATATATATATATATATATATATATATATATATATATATATATATATATATATATATATATATATATATATATATATATAGAGAGAGAGAGAGAGAGAGGTATTCCAACTAAGTATTTTATTATTGTATGTATGATTGTGGATAAATAAAAAATTAATAGAAAAAACAATAATTAAATAAATCAATAAGGGTAACTAGGTAATTTGAGAAATAAATTCCACAAATATTCCATATAATGTTGCTAGTTAAGTTGAGTTTAACCTAATTCCCCCCTTTTATATACGGCCTACGACTGATCTGATCAATCTTCATCACCGGTGTAGGATCAATCTTCATCACCGGTTGAAGACTCCTTCACGCCGACCATCCAATCGGCTACTGACCTAATTTCTCAGCGATGATGAAGAAGATACTGAAGAACCCCACTCCCGCCGTTGAAGATGCCATCACCAAATCCAAAAAGAGAACACGAAAGGTCTCCCAATCGAAACCACAACTAGCGTTTACCATCGGCGACAAAAAAGATTTTCAATTTAAGGAAGACGAAGTTAAAGAAATTAGGGCATCCTTGTTAAAATGGTATGACGTTAACCGGAGAGACCTTCCATGGCGGAGGATCAACAATTCCGATGACGAGGACAAAGATAGAAAAGCATACGATGTGTGGGCTTCAGAAATCATGCTTCAACAAACAAGAGTTCAAACTGTTGTAAACTACTTCAATCGGTGGATGGAGAAATGGCCGACTGTTCATCACCTAGCTCAAGCTTCCATCTTAGAGGTAATTTAAGTTTTAGAATTTCAAATTTTCTGTTTTTTTTAAAACTAAATGCTTTTATTTTTACTTTTTGCAATTTCCCTCAACCCTATACTCACTGATATAAAGGAATAAGTTTTCATCAAATCTTTATCTCATTATTTGAATCCAGTCACACTCTTTTAGAATTTAAGAACTCAACTTCTCAGTTCCCTCATCTATGTAACTCCGTTTCTGTTTGATAATTGATACAGTTGACAGTTTGTTTGATTGGTTGATAATGATACACCATCGATGGTATTAATTATTTTCTCATGTGTTGGCTTCAAACTTCCATATAAGCATCAATAATTTTAGGGGTTTTAAACTTGGTTTAAATCCGAATTGGATTGAAAGATTTGTTTAGTGGGCAGTAGGCAAGTTGGCTTTCAATTAGAATTTATAAGAAATGGTTTCAATTAATATATTAGACTTAGACTTTTAATTTTGAGTTGTTTGACTATATTTCATTTTTAGTTATGTTTGAATTAGAATTGTACAAGTCTAGAACGATTAGTAAAATACATAGATGGTTTGATGCTTCTTTCATTTAGAATTAATTTGTTTATGTAGATGATTCAATGTATGATATTGGTGAGATTCTAATTCTATTGGAATGGAATTACGATTTCCAGTTCTGTTGGAATGGAATCATGAATTCTGATTCTGATGGAATGGAGTATGGATATTTTCTCACTGATTTATGCATGTTCTACAATTCTTGTTTATTGGATTTGGTGCAATTCACAAGTCCACATGTTTTTCAAAGGAATTTAGTTTTTTATTTTTCATTTCCTAATGCATTATTGGAATCTAAACTACAATTTTGTTTTGTTTTCACAGAATTTGATGTTTGAAGAACAGACCACAAAATTGAAAGTGATTATAAGCAACATTATTCTTTTAGAATGTATTAGTTTCGTTGATAGATTTTGATGTTTTCTTTCCCATTTTGAAAGTATTTTTAGTTTTATTCTTTAACAATAAATGTAATTCTTAACAATTATTACCCGTATTCTATAAGAAAATAATGTATTTTTTGTTTTTATTCGTCAATTGATTATTCAAATATTTGTTATTCTACAAGAAGTTTTTAAAGTGATGATCAAGAAACAGGTTCAAGAATATTTTTAGTATTTATGGTTCAAGAATATTTTTATTTTTGAATATACTCATAAACATATTCTGTCAGAATGTCCGAATTAAAAGAATTATAATTTTTAAAACCGGATTTTTAAAATTAATAGAATCTATGATCCCTAAAAAATTGTAATTTTTCTTTATTAAATCTATATTAATTGACTAAATTACCCTTGTAATTAATTAAGATGATATTTTTTAATTATATTTAATTCAATAATATATAGTAATCACTTTCTTAAAATAAGTAAATTTAATTAGCTCACATTTATGCATATAATAACACAATAATTACTTTGAATAGAATAACCTAAGCCTATATATATATATATATATATATATATATATATATATATATATATATACACACACACACACACATACACACAAACACACTAAATACAAATAAATATATTTTTAACAGATAAATACGTTTTTAAAGTCATACATTGGCTTTCAAATGTATATAAATATTAAATAAAAGTAAACATGTAAGGGAGGAGTGCGCGCGGTAAGATTTAAAACTTGTCGTCAACTTGAAGGAAATGTTATGTTTTTAAATCTATAAAATATTTTTATTCATTTAAACATATAATAATAATAATAATAATAATAAATCCAAATATTTTTGAAAACTTAAGAATAAATTCGAACATTTTTTTAAAACATAAGGTCTTATTGTTATCACGTAACCGGTCGGTGACCTAAAACCGACTATAAATATATAAATGAACAAATTAAACAAACCATCCAAATTTACTGAACCTAAAAATACACCGAATGATAAAACCGATATTTTTTTTGAAAACTTTAAGATTTTTATATCATTTGCCCTTAATTTTATCCACAAAATATTTAACTTTTTATGCACCATTAACTACAAAATTTAGTAATAATTAAACTAGGCATGTAAACTGATCTGAAATTGGACCGATACCCAATAAGGCATAAATTAATAACGGAAAACCAAACCATATACTGATATTCGGCTTACAATACGATTTAGTTTTTCAATTAAAAAGTTCATCTCAAAATTAAAATACGGGATATTGTGGGTTTTTAACACCTCCCATAAAACAGAGTTGAATTTCTATCCTTAAATATTATCCGATTATATTATATCCGGTGATTTTATACATTTTACTGAATTAAAAACAGTTAGTTGCAATTTGTTGTAGGAGAAGGAGAGTGGAATGGAAGTAATGCACAAAAGACAATGTAAGGTTTGTGTCTGTGTGTGAGTGAGTTGTCTAGAGTAATTAATAATATGTGATATGGGGATCTGATGGATCAGTGAAAGACAGATGTCCAGCTTCAGCCTGCCCTCATTAATGCTATTCTTATGAGTTTGGGTTTTCTCCAACTATAAACAACAGCTTCAATTCCTCTCTAGTCAGCTGCTTATTATATAAATCAAATAACTTCAATATGTGCTGCCTTTAATATTATATTTATTTCAACCACTTCAAAATAGATTTACCTTAATTCTGGAATTATGGCACTTCGTGCAAAACCAAAATCTTACGCATGCTTTAATGTTGAGATGCTTACTTAGGTTTGATTTAAGAGAAATAAAGACTAAAATAACAATTTTTCTTATACATTTGGTACAAAATAACTAAAAACAATGATTCTCCGCATTTTAAGAGTTTTTTTTTTTTCTTTTCATTTTTACATTTATTTTTTATTGTAAATTTCTCTCGATGACTTCGTTTTCAAGTTTTCTTTGGTTGTAAAACTCGTTTTTGAAGATAACCACAACAAAAAAAAAAATTCCAAAAACTGTTTTCTTAGTACAAAAAAATAATTTCACAGTAGACAAAAATTAAAAAATACCATTACACAGTCCAGATCCATTTGTAGTGCTTTATTTCACAATGGGCTGGACTGAGAATATTTGCGAATATTGCGGAAGATTTCAGAGTGAATAGTGCATTTGAGAAATGTGTGGCTATAGTTGGAATAGTGAAACTTTTAGTTATTTCTTGGCAAATGGTTGATGAAAATGGTTAATTTTGTCTTTTTTTTTGGATCTAAATTGGTTAATTGGAGTAAAAGTATTCAACTAAACATCAAACTTATGATTACTACCAAATATCAAAAGTGACTATCATGAAAAGTCGAAAGATAGCAGGAAATGATCAACTAATGATCCGTAGTACAAACATTTACAACAAGTGATTATCATAAATTTGTGGAATTTATTTTTTAGGGTGAATTGCTTCCACAACAGCTTCAATTTCTTCCTTGGCTCTTTCAAGAACACCCGGTCCTTTGACTTGCTCAATTGGGGTGTCTCGGCCAATGTCATTACTTGTTCCATGTGTTTCCTTGTCATGTGTAGGTGATTTCTCTTTCTCTTTATCAATCATTTCTTTTTTTCCTTCTTTGCCTTTTTCAATCAAGATTCTGACTTTTGCTTCTTCTTCCTCTTCAAAATTCACAGAAAAAAAAAATCTCAGCAAACAGCTATTTGAATCATTTAGTTTTGTGACCTAAGTGAATAACAATGCTAGTTTTGTGACCTAAATACATGTGTATATTATATATGTTTTCAGTGTGTGTTTATACAGTATATATGTACGCATGTAAATACAAAAATCTGATAATTTATGGAGTAAGTGATGATGAAAGGAGATATGAATTGATGATAGTACTCTCAGAGGATATTCCAGATACCACCAATAAGTTTGATGAGATATGATATATTTTCAGATAGAGCATCAGTGAGATCCCTTCACAGATCCCACAAAAATAATTTGGAAAACCAAAATTATTTCAAGTAATCATCAATATCTACAAACGTAGGTATGATGTCTTATTGGTACTGTAAACCTGCACACCATATGTGCAAAATTGTTGCAGTTTTCATGATGAACGAAATAAACAAAGAGGTTAAAACCATTAGCTTTACAGGTGATTGGGGAAACAATGGCGAAAAAATGATAAATTAGTCAAATCTGCTTTGAACCGCCGTCAAAATCAACACAGATGCATAGCATATGAACATCTGTAGGAAGACTTAAGCTACTATATTCTATGGAAATAGTTGATTGAATGAATTAAGAAAACAATTAAACTTCTTTTACCGATCGTAGACGACAGTATTTTAATTTAAAACCCTAATTCGAAGAATTTGTGAAGAAAAAAAACATAATATGCACATCGATCGATTGAAGAAGCAAAAGAAGTTAAATTTCATAGGAGTACCTTTCGCAGAATCAGATCTTCCGTCCGCCATTACAGTTCGATCGAATCTCCTTTCTGGAACGACGACACCTTCGAACTTCGAAGACGGTTTTGGCAATTTGGGGCCACTAACGTCAGCCCAATTAGACCTTCTTAGTTGGGCCGACCTAGCAATCAATATATGGCCCATATAAAAGTTTTCACAAAAGTACATTAACATCCTACTTAAATTCTCATCGGACTTCTAAACAGTGCCGGCTGGGTTGGAGCCGCTTTCTCTTATGGCTGGATTTGTTTGGTCGGCGGCTGGTATGTAGTCGGGTGGCTTCGTCTAAAATTGATTCTCACTAGGGATGAGATTTATAATTGGAAAACCGAATCGGAACCGGAACCGTTAGAACCGGAATATGTAAAACCGATTCAGGTCCCGGGTTTAAAGAATGGTTCTATCCGGGTTCCGGGTAATCCAGGTTTCGGATCCTTCAGGTCTGGGTAAACCGGGTTTAAGAACCAGAACCGTGTTAGGAACCGGAACTGGTTTTAGGGGTCAGAACTGGTTTTTATGAAAAGTTTAAAACATACATATCTCATTCGTTTGAAATCGGATTGACATGCGGTTTCTTCAAAAGTGTAGTTTATATTTTGTACATGATTTTAGACTACAATGTTGTCGTTTTTGGATTTATATTCATTGACTTATAGTCTCTCAAAGTCGGGATATCAAAGCTTGAAGTTTTATGTTTTTCAACTTTTTTGTATTTTGTGATAGTTTTAAAACATGCATATCTCATTCGTTTCAAGTCGGATTGATATGGGGTTTTTCTAGAGTGTAGTTTACTATTTGTACATGATTTTAGACTATAATTTTTTTGATTTTTAGGTTTATATTCATTGACTTATAGTCTCTCAAAGTCGGGATATCAAAGTTGGAAATTTTTTGTTTTCCAGCTTTCTTTGTATTCTATGATAGTTTTAAAACATGCATATCTAATTCATTTGAAGTCGGAATAGCATGCGTTTTTTTCCAAAGTGTAGTACATAGTTTGTATATTATTTTAGATTATAATTTTGTAATTTTTGGTTTCATATTCTTTGATTTATAGTCCCCTATAGTCAGGATATCAAAGCTGCGATTTTTTTTTCCAGCTATATTTTTGTATTCTGTGAAATTTTAAAACATGCATATCTAATTTGTTTGAAGTCGAATTATCATGAGTTTTTTTTGCAACATGTAGTTTAGCGTTTGTACATGATTTTAGATTATAATTTTGTCATTTTTGGTTTAATATTCAATGACTTACAGTCCCCCGAAGTTGGGATATCAAAGTTGAAAATTTTCAAAGTTTAACCACTAAGTAATTACCAGATTATTCTGGTTTTTCCGGGTTTTCTGGTTCTAGACCCACTTTACCCGGTTTCATCCGATCCACTTTGATATTTTTGGGTTTTCCGGTTCTAGACCCACTTTACCCGATACTTACCAGGAACCAAACCGGAACCGGTTCCTATATACCGGTCCGGTTTCCGGTCCTACAAAATGTTGTTAACAGGTTCCCGGGTTTTTCGGGTCCAAGTCTACCGGTCCGGGTTTAGACCCACTCTGATCCCTAATCCTCACCGCCGCTATCTTTCAATCACATGGTCACCATCTTTCCATCTTCCAATCAAGATGAACACCACCTTATTCGACTTAGTCTTATTCAATATTAATCTCAAGAGTTCAATATCAATCTCAGGAGAGAAGTATATCACCAACTCCACTAACCCTAATTGATTTTCAATTTCATCCATATATCTAGGTCTACAATTTACATTGCCGACTTCCAATGACCGCATAACACTGCATCTTACTGGAAATATCTATAACCCACCCATTTCAAGCGAAGGGAGAAGATAAGAGTAGTTTCAATCAGGTAAGAGATAATAGTACTTTTAATCAGGTAAGAACGTCTTTCAGTTGTGTAGTTTTTTCGATTTCAAAGGCTTAATTTTAGATGAAATTCAATTTTTAATCAGATTCCAAAAGCAATTGCTTTGGAAATACCCCCTTAAACCTAACACAAATTGAAAGGGAAGCTTGATTTATGTTTCTCTGTGTCTATGGTTTTGAAGAAGAATGTCAAGTGTTACATAGTTTGAGTAAAGTTATTGTGGCATAGAGGCGGTAGAGTAGGTGGTTAACACCGTGGTGAAGAACAAAAAGAGTAAGCTACAAGGACGGAAAGGGAACGACTTGGAAAATATATTGTTCACAAACCGGAACGGGATTGGAGATGGTATGTTACGGATTATAAGGATCTTATGTTTGTAGTTCTATTAATTTTATTGCTTTTAGGTATGGGTAATATGTTTTATTTGACCCTGTCTTTAAAGTTGTTCATCTACATATATGTCGTAGCCCCATATAGATTTGTCGTTTCCTTCTGCATATATGATGCTATGGTAATCAGTTGTAAACTTAAATTTACCTTATCCAGTAAACATGCTCAATATCTTCGTCAAGAACACAACCTTCATCTTGACCATATTAGTTTCGGCAATTTAGTTTTCTTCTCCTACAATTAAGTGTAGACTTTAATTCTAGAATTCTTTTTTGTGGGTAATTGGTGGAATTTTTAATGTTTATATAGTTTAAACAGCCTGCTACTGTTACCTAGATTCTTATTGTTATTTGATAGGATAACTTTATAGGCAACACGAAGACAAGGTTGCAATGTTAGTCAGAAAACAAAGGAATTACAAGTTATTCGGCTATAAACAGGAGGCCAAGCTTCATTCCTTCTCCCATAACTTCCCAAACGTTCTCTTTCGATTTCTTTCAATTCTAACCCATTTTCTTTTAGTTTTAGTCTCCGGCAAAGCCCTGTGATCCCTGTAGTAGTAGTAGCTAGTGACTAGAAGTTCTACTAGTGCAATTTCCTAAATTTTGTCAGCAAGAACCTCTATAAGTTAAGCTACACTATAGTCTTTTCGGTGTAACTTATATTTATAGTCATTAGTCGTTATTATGAACCTATAAATAATATTTATAAGTGATTGCAAGTCATAATACTGATTGATCTACTTACGAGAGAGGTATCTAGAATGGTCATGTTAGCTTGGTTGTTAGATATCAGAAATGCTATACGCCGAAAGGGTCCTGCCTCCTAACTGTCCTGTCTGACTGATCCTTACTTGATAAATCTTGATGTAGACATTGGAATTAGTGAGAAATCTAGACTACTATTAGTTACCATGATCATTAGACTAAAACTATGTATTAATCATACTTAAGTCATGTTAAGGGAAAATCTAAGGTGTTGGGCGAAACTCTGCCCATATCAGCAATCGTACACCTAAGTCAAGTGAGTGCATAGTTACTTTCAACCTACACATGAATATAAAGTATATATTAAATGATATATATGCTTGCTAATTGTATATTTGATATTTGTGTTATAATATAATTTTACTTATTTAAATTACCTTATTATATTTGTATTAGGTACTAAAGGGTTTTAGGGAAAATGAAGTAATGGTGAGAGGTCACACATTGTATTACCGGTCCAATCATTTGATAGAGTATAGATGACAACCCCTGAGTATTCTAGGTAGTCCGATGGAACACCAGTTGGGGGTGTTAATGATCATACTTTTCAGGGAAAAGAAAAGATATTTATTCGGGTACTCTATCCCCTTCAGGGTTGCCTTATTGATATATATTGCTACAGAACCCCCATAGTAATATTGTCTACTCACAGAAATCCTTTAGGATAAGATCATTACCTTAGGATCATGGAGTGAGAATAACGAGAATGGGTAATTGGGTTAATTGTGTAAAATAAAATATACAACTATATTGTTGTTGGTTGAAAACTCTATGTTCTCACCAGGTTCCTCAATCTGGCCTACTCAGTTTCTCTGTATCACAGGCGATGGTTTGAAGATAAATTATGCTGAGAGATTCGAGGAGTTTTAGTCCATTAGTGTAATTAATGCAAGGTCTGTAAAGTTTATGCTTATGTTTTGTATCAGCTATGATATCCCAAGCTTTTTATAAATTAATGAAAAATATTTCTTCGAAATACTTTTACGAGATCAAATTTTGCATTAACAAATAAACTCTGGTTTTGAATAAGCATAAATAAAAAGTTTTAAAATGGTCATAAATTTGGGGATGTCATAGTATACTACCATTTATACCCAATTACGATGATGATTAATAACAACCAACTACAAATCATTTTTCCCTTTCTATAATTGCATTGTTTTTTAATAGTACATTGTCATTATACAAAATCATTAAAATTATAACGTTGTAGTTAGGCAGATTTGAAAGATAGAATGTTTTAATGATAAAAATGATTTTCATATGTGATTTAATGTTATTCGTGATGCCAAGCCAAAGGCAAGACCAAAATTCCATTCTCTTTCCTTCCTTTCTTCTTTTATAAGTATTAGAAGCTATTCTAGGTAAGCATGTAAAATAGTGGTATACTGTAACATCCTGATTATTGAGGTATGATAATGTAAAGTAAATTTGGATTTTTTGGTGGGTCACGACGTGAGGGAAGCACCGTCACATCTTGACATGGTCACATTCTTCGCCGGGGGGGGGGGGGGGGATCATTTGAGTGTCACGTGGTGACCCTTCACCAGATGCAAAACCCTAACTTCGAACTTGGACCCTATTTAAAGGAAGTGAAAGGGCTAGGTTTTCTTTCATCCTTAGCCTCCATCACCTCTAAATGACCCTTTGGCCAAACTCCATCTCTCTTGAAGCTTTTGAGCTCATTTTTGCAAGTTTTGGTGGTTTTGAAGGAAGAATAAGAAGTTGTGGTGCCTAGTTCCTCCAAGCAATCTATCACCGTCCTTATGTATAACTTATGAACTTTTTTATGTCCTCAATCTATCATCTTTTTATTTTATGCTTTTTAGATCTAAGCTTTATTCCATTTTTGGCCCCATTTGTGGTGATAGGGTGAGTAGAAGATATAAAGTTTGCAAATTTATGATATCTTTGTGTCCCAATAGCATATTATTTCATAGATCTAGGATGTGGTGGTGATTTGGGAGCCTTGCATGGATTTTTGGTAACATTGCATCTTTTGACCTATGGTTGGGAAAGGACATGCATGGGGCATGTATGCCCATAAATTTTGCATTTTTAGGGATCATTAGGATCCCTACAACCCTTCTGGATGTTTTAGATTGAAGACTTTATGAATTAAGCGC